CACATGGTAATCTGAACAAAGTTTCTAGAAGTCAAGTTTATATCAACCAAACATTTGTCAAAATACATCTACAAGTTCCTGAAGAACAAATAAAGAAAAACTTTTCCAAAAAGAAGTAAATGTTGGGATGGAATTTGCATCATCCCTACATAATAGCATTGATACACAGCGTAGTGGAATGTTAACAGACAAAAATAGGATAAATTAAACTCAATTGTGATTAAATAGTTTTATATATAAATATGTTCATTTTCCCCTACTATATTGTTTGCATTGTCTTGGAGGATTCATATTACTAATAGTCATTCCTACATTTTCTTCTTGTTTTGAAAAGTTTTTCGTTACTTGTTTGCTTGTTGCTTTTTTTTTAATTCAATGTTTCACTAGATTTGTTTGTTTGTTTGTAATTAAGCAAAAAGCTACACAATGGGCTATCTGTGCTCTGCCCACCACGGGTATCGAAACCCGGATTCTAGGGTTGTAGGTCCGCGGACATACCGCTGTGATAATTGGGGGGCGTTTTGCTAGACATAGGAAGGTTGTATTTATAACCAAGTTCTAAATACAATAAGGTTCCAACTGTAATATTTATTGTTTATCTATTGGCTGGTTATTCCTGTTTCATCCTGTACTTAAGGTTTCTATGGGAACACCAAATTTCTGTAAGAAAGCTAACTTCAAAGGGTAATGATAACATCGTTTACATTAGAATGATGATTTTTTTCCTAATTACTACTAGTTGTTAATAATACTTAGAAAAGCGCATACTCCGTTTGAAACTATGTCACCTCAGTGAATGTGGTTGACATCATTGTGTTGGTTTTTGAGTTATCATGTAATAAAAAATAAGCAGAAGAAAGAATAACAAGAAACTCAAACTTTTTGCTATGATATTTACAGACATTCCTAGAACTTGTGACTTAGTCATTACATAAATATTATTATAAAATAAAACACCGTACAGTATTGTAAAGTTCTGATGACCTATTGAGGAGATGTTTAAAATTTCGATGAACAATCCGAACCATTCCTACATAGCCAGTGCTACCGCCTACCTGATATTGTACACGTACCAAAACACATACACACTGTTATATCTGCATCTTATTTACTTAGTAACAGGGGAGAAAGACTCTAAATGTGAGAGTCAAGGTTTCTCCTTCTGCCTCCAGATTGGCAGAAACTACCATATCCTTGTAGCGGAACCTTAAACCACTACAACTACTTCATTGTGATAAAACAACAACAAAAAGTTATTCCATTGTCTGCTAACAATTGTACCTCCAATCAATCAACTCTAGTGGAAACTCGGCTACTCCATTTGCATTTATTCCAGATTTGGATTCCAAATGTCCAGAAATACACCAAAAAGGCTAAATGCCGCCTGGTAAGTACTGGAGCCAGATATACACTATGACCAATCTATGTGTTCAGTTATAAACACAACGAAATTCCCATGCTATGGATATACAATATGACCAATCTATATGTTCAGTTACAAACACAACGAAATTCCCATGCTATGGACACCTTGGAATGTCTAAACACCTACTGCATAGATAAGATAATAACAATAAGAAAACATTTTGTCTCTTTCTGTGGAAAAGCTGAAAATATTAATCGTGTAATAAGTTTCAAACCATCTACCAAAAAGTAAATGCCAGCGAGCTAAGATGGTCAATAAGCGCAAGTAAATCCAAATCCCACGAACCGTTTGACATTTTCAATGTCTAAGATTTAATTGTAGACACCCACAAAGATAGTCCTTAAATGTTCGATATAAATCATATTAGACCACTATAAATGTGTGTAAAAACAGCATTTCGATATATCTTTTATATAGAACAGTTAACTTCTTGTTCAATATCAGAACACATCTAATAGGTTCGTCCTAAGACAACACAAATCTGTCTGAAAAGCTACTTACATTTTGTACGTATAACTTACGTAATTTCTGCATAACTCTGCTTATCAATACACCTTCAACAATGAAACTTTGACGTGATTTATACAGAATGTTCTGTGTATTACACATGTCAATTTCTAAATCCTCTAGAATTATGGCCCTCCCCATAAAATCTGATGTATTTGCAAACTATCATCTGTTTACTGGTGCATAACTATTACGGCTATCATTTATTCGAATATACTAGGACTAATGTGTTAACTCAGTTGGCGTTTGGAATTGGAATTGCTGTGATTACACTTTATTCTGTCATCTTCCCCATGGAAACAACCTGCCATTATTCTGGGGATGTCTTTTGTGAGCATTTAGCTTGCGAGTCTTCAGTATCTTCTAGTCCTTGTTCATTATCTTGTTAATGGTAACAAGAGATATGACCAGCTTTATTGCAATAGATTTTGGATTGAAGGGCTCCTTTTCCAAACCATGACATTATTCACTTGCAAGTGAGTACAGTGCTTGGTATTGGTAATGTTTTAGGCCCTGTTGATGCCCTACACACTCTGGTGAACATTGAAGACTCCTTTTTGATATAGTGTTCTCTGGTTCTACATTATTTAACAATTTAGTTGTGCAAATATCATTTTTCCAGACCTAAATCTACTCAAAGCAACATCTGTCCTAATTGAGTGGTTGAGAATTTGCTCCAGCATAAACACATCATGCATATAAAGTGTGATCAACTCAAAAAGTCAGTGCAGTTTTACCTACCAACACATTATGTTGTATAACAACATTCATTACCAGTTTCATATTTACAAATACAAGATACATATCTTACTCTGAGATCAACCGTTCTCTTGAACATAAAAACTGAATCGCCACCACGCCTTCTATCTTTTCCTTTTATGTAACAAGATCCGTGTCTTACTCTGAGATCAACCGTTCTCCTGAACATAAAAACCGAATCGCCACCACGCCTTCTATCTTTTTCTTTCATGTACATTAATGAACTTTAAGATTACGAGCCTTTTTTTCTATTATTTCTTTGGTATTTGTCATTATTACGTCAGCAACAGAAATTGCAATTTCTACCCAAACCTCGAAGTAAGCACATAAATCCATATGCTGCCCATTGTTCAAGGATTAAACTGAAAGCAAGCAGAGCAAACAAATATCATATTGATCATTTAAATTAAAACCTTTTTCTGGATGAAAACGTTTCTAATAAGCTAGCCAACGTTTCATTCTTTTTCTTTTTTGTTTTAGTTTGAGGTCATTTTAATGTTCGTTGAATTTTTGTTACTTAAAATTGAAGTATTCTATAGACCACATTAGAGCTGTAACGGTGACGGTCCGTTAGTCCGAAGACACATTACTCAGAAGGTCCGATAGTTTTTTTTGATAGTTAAAATGTTAAATTGATTGTTTAGTTAAATTTGTGAAATTTTATAACAAAAACATGTCCGGATATGACCTAAAAGGTCGTAATTTCTCATGAAGGATTGGATAATGTTTATCACCATTTCCTCAATGTTATTTTCTTCTGTGCATGTATAGTGTTAACTGCAGAGCCCGCATATTTACACATCACGATTGGATTTGAGAATCTAGCTCTTCTGAGAGAATGAACATTCAAGATTCTTATTCCATAGTGCTAGACAACGAATGTTCTTTCACCGACTCATTAAACATGCTGAAAGCTTCTGGTCAATAAAACTATCTTGACACCGAGCCAATGCAATGAACTGTACACTACAATGTCCATTCAAATATTTCTGTTGTTTGTATTTAAAACTAGAGCAAGCTGTCAGGGGCGGCTGGCCCCCGAAACCCTCCAAGATTTATACTTTACATTTGAGGTTGCATTAATCTATTATGTACCTATGAATTTGTCTATTCATTCAATTTTGTACTTATATTGCGAAAACCAAAAACCTATGACTATCGGGTCTTCGGAATACTGCGCAGTCAACGTTGTAACAAAGGGAAGATTTTGATCTTCGAAGTTGAGTTAGGTTGAGAAACCTAACGAAGGTTTGCATAATTTACTGATGTCTACCAGTTTATATTTGATTGAAAATCCTTTTTTTTTATTTTACACGTAATACATATACATGAAATAAAACGTTCACGTGTAATTTGAGAACACGTTTTACAAAACAGTTTTCCTGTTTGAAAAAATGCACGTTGTTTGTGTACATGTATTTGATGCTACGTACGATACTCATACAACTACATGCAGAAAGCTTGTATTGCAAGAACGGCCTAATTTAAGGAAAACACGCTTATTTAAGTCACCGTTCCAAACAAGTTAACATCCATAGTGTTTTTAACATTAAACATAAAAACAAACAAACAGCAAAATATAACAAAGTAACACTAACCGTTCGATTAGAAAATAAATATTTACCTTCAGCTATAATAAAACGAGTAATATTATCAGTTACATATTAACAACATTGTTCGTTAATTAAACATACGCCTTGGGGGGAAGGGGGGAGGTATAGTTACACTTGTGCTACTTTTTTCAACTTTATAATTATTAGTGTTAGGATATAATTTATGTTCCAAACTTATTGTACCATAACATTTCTCTTATGTATTGTATGTTAGGTATTCAGTACACTTTAATGAAACAATGTAGCCACTAAACATATCCTCCCCCTCCCCCCTCTCTCCTCCATGATCGACCATAATGGTCTGCTCCAGTGCACGGAAGGAGCCGCTAACTTTTTTGGTGGTGGTGGTGTGTGTGATACAACAACTTTCAAAGTACCTGACCTTATACACATTAAAATACTGTCTTTCCCATGTGTGTTTGACATTTAATGTGTGATTATCTTTCAATTAATGTCAAATGATTACTGTTAATAACAGGATAAAGAAATCGAACACTGCTTGTTAAGAACCATTTTTGAATTCCTGGCTAGCGAACGAACCTTCGAAGATAAACCCTGGACCACATTACATTAAATTCAAATATTTTAAATATAGTATACAGAACTATTGCTCGATGACTAAGAGAAGAAGTTACTACATCGGAGATCTTGAAACTGATTTATTTTTATATGAATTGATTTGGCGTAAACTTTACCATTTACTGTATTGCTTCTTGGTTTGGCCCCGAGGTACGCTAAATTAACGTTGGCTTTCCTCCCATCGATGATAGGATTGGCATCTTTCACTGCCCTTTCAGCCGCTGGTTGGTCCACCATAGTCACCTGCACAAATTAACCAAAATTAAATTAAATACACACAAAATAGACACTATGTTTTGTATGAAAAATAAATAAAAATGTACTACGAATACAAGATTAAACATTCTAAATATTTTAACTGAATAGTTGTATGTGTTCAGTCTTAACTTCGAAACTAAAGGACCCCACTAGTAGTAGTATTTAACTGAATTAATTCAAGCTGATAACTAGACGACCTCGCTCGTGTACGCTGAATCAATTCAAAGCTGATAACTGGACGACCTCACACGTGTACACTGAATCAATTCAAATTTTATAACTGGACGACCTTGATCGTGTATTCAATGCAGATAACTGGTCGACCTTGCTCGTGTACGTAGAACCAATTCAATGCAGATAACTGGACGACCTTTCTCATGTACGCTGAATCAATTCAAAACTAATTACGGGACGACATCCCTAATATACGTTGAATCAATTCAAAGCTGATAACTGGACGACCTAGCTATAATGTACAAAACTGTACATATTAAATCAACCTACTTTTGTAAGTTATTTTTGTTAGAAATATGCATGTTTGCATGAATTTCAATTTTAACATAAACTAATACATTTTTTTGTTTGCTCATAATAATAAATCTCATATAATATAATCTGATCTAAAATGTGGTGCAATTAATATATATTTGTACATTAGCAAGGCTATAAAGTTGACTTATCTATCCATCTATTCTTCCATATATCTATAATAATAAAAGGGCGTGTCTATGTGTGTGACCGCCATAGCTCAAAGAGAAAAGAACCTATAAACCTGAAATGTTGCACTCATACTAAGTGGACCCTGAGGGTGTGCACATGAGTATTATTATTATTATTATTACTCATCTTATCCACGTGCGTGCGCGCTCCATAGTATACCCTGTAGTATATCATTTAGATTACAAATTGTAATATATAGAAAAGTCAGTGCATTTTCGTAACAATGTGTTCCAATAATGGCCTTTATGTCATGTCGCTTAGCAACAATAGTATAACCTAATATTGTTGTTAGTCTATGTACTGAAAGTATAAAATGAAATGTATAAACAACAAAACTGGAATGATATTTACATACATATGTTACCGATTTATCTTCCAATTCCACCAAAGGTAAATATGAAAGGAGAATCTGTGACATATAGAGGCCTAATGTTATCTTTGATTGGCCGTACCCACTGTTGTGAACTGCAGTTTCGTCTATTAAAAACCCCATTAATGGAATGATATTTGTTGATTTCTTAATTTAAAGTTTCCATTAATTAAAAACTTTGGTGATATAACAGAAAATTCCTTAATTTAGAAACGATTTAAATGTAAAATTGCATCGATATTTTTACTTTCATGATAGATTTTATGCACTTGCTGAAATATATCAACCCAATAACCGGTACGAAGCCAGGTACTTTCGCTAGTCTATCTATAAAATAACATGACTATTATATATGTGACATCGAAAATTGTTAAAATAACATGTTAGAGGCATTTGTCATGTTGTTTCAGTATTAACATATTACTAAGTATTTTATTTCTAATATGAATAAAAGGTTAAGTCATTCTGACTAGAATGTAGCAGTTGAATAACCCCCAACTGGCTACATAACATGAATGAAGTCATTATAAATTGAATTCATGCGTGGTAAGGAATTAAGTATACTCTTAATTGCGTAAGTAACTGATTCTCTTTAAATGTGACATCTTACACAAATTCTTATTTGTTTTTGTTGAATTGCGCGCTAAGTTACTCGTGGACTATCTACGCTAGCTGTCCTTAACTTAGAAGTGATTGACTAGAGGGAAGGCAGCTAGTCAACAACAACCACCGCCAACTCTTGGATTGCTCTTTACCAACTAAAAGTATAATAGACCGTCACATTGTAACACATCCACGGCTGAAAGGGCGGACATGTTCGGTGAAAGGATTCGAACCCGCGGCCCGCAGATTGTGATTAGAGCGCCCTAACCACCAGAGCATACCGCTCTTTTCCAAAAATGCACTAATATGCTAGAAACGAGTTCTGAAATTATACTTGTTAGAAACTGAATGATATACTGGATAATTCAGCTGTATTGAAAACTCAAAACCTCAAAAATCTCTCCCCTTATATAAACCTTTTAACGTTTTCCTTGTCACGTATTTAACGTGGAAACACGATGGTGTTTAATTCATGTGGTAGAATGTAAAGAATTCCGTAAGATATAAAAGGCCGATCTCGCATATAGAGGCATAGTAATTACTAAATAATGCGTGTAATATACATTATTTCTCCGATCTATGTTGCTGAAGCTGACACAACAAGAACATGCATAAATAAAAATGGAACGACCACTGCATTTCCTTCTACTGACGTTAACGTTTAACTGTTTGTATAGCAATATTTAAGGGCGTGTTTCTCTTAGAATGCTGGCTTCACGTTGACGACTTGCGTGTCGAATAGAAACTAAAACATTGATTGATTAACGTCTACTGAAGTCATTTATTTGAACACTGATAGATGAGTTATAAGTGGTTAATCTCCTACTTGTTTCTTATCAAACGGAACCATTTCTTGAAATCCCCATTATCAGTGAATGTTTTTCACAATATCTCCTTCGAATAAATTAAACGAATGTGCGTATTCTTGAAGATCAATAACGAATATCTCACACTGAAATTAAAACGTGTTCAACAATTCTAACATTTACTTTTCATATCCACCTAACATACGTGTAACAGTTCGTATATACAACATACGTCGAATTATATGCGTCTAATACATCGTATATAAAATAAACGTTTAATAAGTGATATTTTTGCGCCGCTCATAGCCTACTGGTTAGCGTGTCGGAGTATGAATCCGAGAGTTCATGGTTCGCGCACCATTGTCGAAAAACAAATATCCCGTCCTTTGGGGCCATGGGTACGTTATAAGAGTAATGGTCAAATCCCAGCTGTTGTCAAAATGTTTACCCTCTTGTCTATCAGTTATAAATTATGGACACCTAGCACAGATAGCTCTAGTGTAGCTTTTCGCAAGTATCGTCTTCGTGTGTTTGGTATAAATCCGATCACACTTTACAGAATAATTAACCCCTAACCGCGAAAATGGCCTATCTCTGCCATTATAAGTAACGCTTCAAAGTAATCTAGAGTCTGGGGAGGACTGTCCCACGTTGAATTCCCGGCTTGTGCAAAATTTTCGGGTACGTCGGTATATTAGTTTTCAAGATATGTGTGCGGAAACACCGACACACGGACCCGATTGCAATACCCACACAAGGCGAGGATAATAATGACGTTACATCAATTGTGATCAAGGTAATCTGTAGAAGTTAAGTAATAACGAGTGAAATATTGAACAAGATTGATTTTTGATATCTTTAAGAAAAAAAAACATGTTTGATCTACTGTGGTATTTTCTTTCTAAAACATGCTCGATATACGTTTTAGAAAGCAACTACCCCAAATACCACAGTGTTTGATCTACTGTGGTATTTGGGGTAGTTGCTTTCTAAAACATGTTTGATCTACTGTGGTATTTGGGGTAGTTGCTTTCTAAAACATGTTTGATCTACTGTGGTATTTGGGGTAGTTGCTTTCTAAAACATGTTTGATCTACTGTGGTATTTGGGGTAGTTGCTATCTAAAACATGTTTGATCTACTGTGGTATTTGGGGTAGTTGCTTTTTACCTCCTTTAAAAATGAAAAGTTTCAAGTGTTGTGTTCAGAATAAAACTGTTATCTACAATTAAGCCTCTGCCAGCTAATTGAGAGATTTAGAGCTATCGGCATATATCTGATCGTAAACATACTTTAAATGTAACTTAATATTGGTAAACTATATCGATAGTACAAACGTTTAGCTATAGTTAAGTCTTTTGAGGGTATACATATATTCTAAACTAAGTTGTTCGAAAACCGTTCATATGAGTTTCCGCGTACATTTTTAATAACAATACTAAATAAATAAAACTGAAGTCCTAACTGCCTAAAACTCTTGTCAGGTATTCAAGGTGAAGAAGCCTTTTAATACTATTGGCACATGTATAACAAACCTTGTTACTGAAGCGTGATAGCTAGCACGTTATATAAGGCTGCTTTTCTTTATGAAATTTGTTATTCTACGTTGTATAAACAACTATTTATTGTGAGCATACTCATATGTAAACAATATGTTGGACAAAAGTACATATTCAGAATGGGCAAAATAGATGGTGAGGAAAATAGTTCCAAGGACAGCACATGATTTGGAATATAGTTGCTATGAACTCTAATTAACCTCAGTATCACGTGTAAACTTGACTACCTGTAGTACATGCATAAATATATTTGTTTCACACACAATAACTAAACATCCAATCCAGAGACAATACTGTGGTCCTGTAGGATTGCACTCTACTTCAGGAAAAAACCCTTGGTTGAGGGTGTCCTTTGAAGATGATTGTTTGGTACGATTTCGCAGGGCACGATGAGGGATGGACTATACATATTTGATATGGTTCATACCCAGTGATTACTGGAGAGTAATAATTTCCTGATCTTCAAGCCATCATTTGGTGAGTGAGCAGGAGCCTCAACTTTCGTGAAGACCTTGTCTGGTAAGCTGGTCATTGTCGTAGACAGGTCGAGAAATGTTATGTATTGAGACGCTGCGAATGTTCAGTTGCCGAACACTATAACACATCCACACTATAACAGAATTACCGCCATATTTTTTGGGATCTGCTAAGGTTTCAAAGAGGATAGGGCAAAATCCAAGTGCGCCCACTGTCCGAGAAGTGTACAAATCTGGACTCGTTTCAACAAAATTAGTGTTCCACAAAACTGGATGGTGTGATAGCACCTGTGATGCCTATTACTGTGGACCAGAGACGTCGCTGGACGTGCCCCGAATTCCCAGTTAGAGTCTTGAAAAATCAGAAAAGAAAACCACGATTGATATCATACTAAAATACCGATAATTCTCGCGCCTATGGGCCCGAGCCCCGGATCTTTTAAGTACCTAGC